CATCCAGCCATTTCCTATGTTGGGTGTATTTATTTAGACTCACAGACATTGATCAGCCCCCGAATCTACCTATAAATACCTGTACAATATTTACCTGAATCGAATTCTTATGACTCTGAAATAACTTGTTTGAGGTTGGAACGGGTGGATTGGTGAAATAGGTAAACCTGTGGACTAGGTATGGTATCAGTCTTAACTTCAATTCATAAAATCGTTGACATTGTGATAACGATTAAAACTGAAAAAAGGAGATGTGTATTCTGGTCTGCATATTGATCACCCTTAAGATATTATGATCAAAAATACTGAAATTTCTTCACAAATCTTTTCATTAAATCAAATTAAAAAAATTAGACTAGATATTTTAAAGCTGATAAGGGGAGTACCATTCATCAAAAGGTAGGTCTTGGGATGGTTAAATGATTTCCAGTCTACTTACTGTCGAGCTGATCACCAGATTTCGTTTATACATATGTAACGTTTGCATACACTTGACTAAATTCAGGAGAATACAACTTTTTTTAACAAAAATACAACAAATACTAATTTTTTGCACTTTTGCTTCGATTATTCGATAATATGATTTTGTGGACTTTAGACGTTACATTTTCAATAGCAATCACATTCTTTGAAGTATAGTTTTTCTACGGCTTTATTTCCAAAATTTCATTTCAGACAGTTTTAAAACTTTTAATTATACAGATGTTTTTCTTGGTCATCAGTTCTATGGTGACAGCATTAGCTCAAACTTGATGTTTGTCAGATGTGCCTCAGATACGACTTGATTATAATTTGTAAAGCTGGGGAGTCTGCATCTCAATTTTTAAGACACATAATTCTATACGGATTGAAATAGAGGATTATGAAGGCATTTGCTATTACAGATGCACAACAAATATACTGCTAAGTTGATGTGCATTTTACATTAAATATTAAGCTGATATTAAGAATTTAAAAGTTTAAAAATGAAAAACAACAATAAAAAAAAGACAAGACGTCCCCTAACAGCATGCATTAGGTAACCCTTTCTGTTATTGCGGCCATATGGAGACTGGTAGGTAACCCTTTCTGTTATTGCGGCCATATGGAGACTGGTAGGTAACCCTTTCTGTTATGGCGGCCTTATGGAGACAGCTAGGTAACCCTTTCTGTTATGGCGGCCGTATGGAGACTGGTGTGTTTACCGTTTCTGTTATGGCAGCTGTATGGAGACTGGTAGGTAACCCTTTCTGTTATGGCGGCCGTATGGAGACTGTTAGGTAACCCTTTCTGTTATGGCGGCCATATGGAGACTGGTATGTAACCCTTTCTGTTATTGCGGCCATATGGAGACTGGTAGGTAACCCTTTCTGTTATTGCGGCCGTATGGAGACTGGTAGGTAACCCTTTCTGTTATGGCCGCCTTATGGAGACTGGTAGGTAACCCTTTCTAATATGGCGGCCGTATGGAGACTGGTAGGTAACCCTTTCTATTATGGTGGCCGTATGGAGACTGGTAGGTAACCCTTTCTGTTATTGCGGCCATATGGAGACTGGTAGGTAACCCTTTCTGTTATTGCGGCCATATGGAGACTGGTAGGTAACCCTTTCTGTTATTGCGGCCATATGGAGACTGGTAGGTAACCCTTTCTGTTATTGCGGCCATATGGAGACTGGTAGGTAACCCTTTCTGTTATTGCGGCCATATGGAGACTGGTAGGTAACCCTTTCTGTTATTGCGGCCGTATGGAGACTGGTAGGTAACCGTTTCTGTTATGGTGGCCGTATGGAGACTGGTAGGTTTACCGTTTCTGTTATGGCGGTCATATGTAGACTGGTAGGTAACCCTTTCTGTTATGACGGCCGTATGGAGACTGGTTGGTAAGTCTTTCTGTTATGGCGGCCGTATGGAAACTGGTAGGTAACTGTTTCTGTTATGGCGGCCATATGGAGACTGGTAGGTAACCTTTTCTGTTATGGTGGCCGTATGGAGACTGGTAGGTAACCCTTTCTGTTATGGCGGCCGTATGGAGACTGGTAGGTAACTGTTTCTGTTATGGCGGCCATATGGAGACTGGTAGGTAACCTTTTCTGTTATGGTGGCCGTATGGAGACTGGTAGGTAACTCTTTCTGTTATGGCGGCCGTATGGAGACTGGTAGGTAACCCTTTCTGTTATGGTGGCCGTATGGAGACTGGTAGGTTTACCGTTTCTGTTATGGCGGTCATATGGAGACTGGTAGGTAACCCTTTCTGTTATGGTGGCCGTATGGAGACTGGTAGGTTTACCGTTTCTGTTATGGCGGTCATATGGAGACTGGTAGGTAACCCTTTCTGTTATGGCGGCCGTATGGAAACTGGTAGGTAACTGTTTCTGTTATGGCTGCCATATGGAGACTGGTAGGTAACCGTTTCTGTTATGGTGGCCGTATGGAGACTGGTAGGTAACCCTTTCTGTTATGGTGGCCGTATGGAGACTGGTAGGTAACCCTTTCTGTTATGGCGGCCGTATGGAGACTGGCCATGGTAGGTAACCCTTTCTGTTATGGCGGCCGTATGGAGACTGGTAGGTAAGTCTTTCTGTTATGGCGGCCGTATGGAGACTGGTAGGTAATTTAACCCTTTCTGTTATGGCAGCCGTATGGAGACTGGTAGGTAACTGCTTCTGTTATGGCGGCCGTATGGAGACTGGTAGGTAAGTCTTTCTGTTATGGCGGCCGTATGGAGACTGGGCAAAGGGTACATATTGTATGCATGCAGGCACAGTCAGAAAATCCATCATGCTTTGGATTTCTTTTTAATTTCTATTGATCAATTAGAACAAGTGGAGAAGAATTATAAGTGGAAAACAAATAAAAGCAGCATATGAAATTGGCCTACACACTGGTAGAGGCTCCAACGATTGATTAGAGAATACGGAACAAGTATTATCCTCTACAGGTATAGCTATGATGTATTAAACGTGCCTATTCAATAGTTCTTGCTAGGGACATTCAAGGAAGAGGGTCTAAAGGGGCTAGTTTAAACCATCTTTTATGAGCTTTTAAAAACATTAATTGAAGAGAGTTTATAGGGGCCAATTTTGACAGTCTGTCATTAGCTTCTAAAGGATTTGTGGAAGAGGGTTTATAGGGGCCAGTTTTTACCATTTTTTTTATTAGCTTCTAAAGGTTTTATGGAAGAGGGTCTAAAGGGGCCAATTTTGACAGTCTTTTATTAGCTTCTATAAAGGATTTGTGGAAGAGGGTCTATAGGGGCCAGTTTTGACCATCTTTTAATAGCTTCTAAAGGATTTGTGGAAGAGGATCTATAGAGGCCAGTTTTTACCACAATCCTTAATTACTAGCTTCTGAAATGTAAAGAAAGGGGGTCTAAAGAGGCCAATTTTGGTTGTCTGTTGGTAAGGGGGCTTTTGAAACATTAATTGTAGCTAGGAGGGTCTAAAAGGGCCAGTTTTGACCATCTGTTACTAACTTCTGAAAAATTAATAGAAGAGATCTAAAGGTACCAATTTTAGCCTGCCTTTGTAAACTGAACAAATTGGAACTCTTCATCATTGAAGATACAATACAGAACACTGGGACTAGCTACCTTAAAGCAGTATTAGGTCACTGCCCTTCTTCAATGCTTTTGAACATGAACTAACTGTCATATATTTTTAGTAAATGTGCATAATTGACTCGAAAGTCTAGAGCTTTTCAGAGAGTGGTTCAAAATCAACACTTACATCAGTCATTACTTCTCTCTGTTCAGTTTTCTCTGTGGCTGCTAATATCAAGCCAACTAATAATAATAAAGTAATTTTTAATAGTTAAAAAAAATAATTAATAGAGACACTTTCACAGCTATCATCAAAATCCGTTGCCAACACCACATTCCCATTACTGCAATTACCTCCCTAATATCTGTATAATAGGTGCGAATCACATTTTCAATTTGACATAATTTTTAATTAAAGATCAACCAGCATTTACTTAGCATGGCGACACATTAACAAAGGCTTACTGGGTCAACTATGTTGCTTTGGTTATAATCATCAGATAGCTATTGATTTCTACCATTGATTTTTGTCTCAGGAGGATGAGGTTGGGTATTAGAAGAGTGATAGACGCAGGGTTCGAGGGTATATTATACTCAGGGTTTGAGGGTATAGTTGTTTGTTGACAGAATCAGGAGGCCAGGGGCAGCAATAGGTATGACAACATTGATTGTTATTTAATGCAAACAAAAAGTCTATACCTGATCCACGCCGCCTGTTTAACTGTTACCAGGTGCTCACTGTGTTATTGTATATATATAAGGATGGGTAAGAAAGGTTGGACCACATCCTGATGTTTATTGTTTGTGCAACCATTCCACTTACCTGCCATAATCTAAAGTAAATAAATGAAAAAAAAATGTCATTATGGACCGTAAATATGAATCATTACCTGTCTATAAAGGTCACCTGAATATAAAGAATAAATTCTGTCTGTGAAGGATTGCAGACTTCAAGATATATAATCCAGATTACACCTGCCTATATCATGACTTCAGTCTTAAAGGATACCTGTATAAAATCACAATCTGTCTATTAGGGATACCTTTCTATAATAAACACCTGTTCATAAAGAACACCTGTCTATGAATGAATTCAACCTTTATATAGAATACCTGTCATTAAATGAACCACTTTCAGACGACCTACGAACTAGGTTGTGATTAAGCGGTGTATAAGAACCTTGAATTGTTATTATTATTATTATTAAATGATACCTGTATGCAAAGATCATCTTTCTACAAAAGCATCCTTTCTATAAAAGAATACCTGAATATAAGAAATGCCTGTATACTAAGGTACCTCTATATAAAGGACACCTGTCCATAAAGAACACTGTGATATTTACGAGATGCCTATAACTACTTAGTGCATTTGAATATTTTAAGAGTCTGACACAAACAGGTGTGCAAAATCTGTAACTATAATGAAAACTAATGAAGTAATGTCTCTTTTGTATGATAAAGAATGTTGTTATATTACAGGTGAAAGTGCCTTACATCTGGCCATTGTGTATGGCGACCTGGAGCATGTCAAACTTCTTATTGGATATGGTGCTAATGTTAACGAACGGGCAATGGGCCGATTCTTTCTTCCAGAGGATCAAAAGAAACGTAAAACTAAGGAAACAGATTATGATGGTAAGTAGTCAATTCATTGAACCATATAACTCTTTTTTATGTCTCAAGACTTACCATAAATATTTGTGTATAGTGCACACTTTTTTAGGGAAAAATGATAAAATCAAGAAGGGGTGCAAATTATATACTGGAACAATCCAAAAACATGCAGTCCTGACTATTTATCATCAATTTTTCATTGATTTTCAGAAACATTTTGAAGCATGCATGCAGCAGTTACCTGATAAAATTTTGCATAATAATTCCTGATTGCGTTAGCTTTATAACCATTACAAAAAGTTGTAATTTATAGTCAAGTTACACGATAGAATCCGACAAATTAACTCTACCGACAGCACAGTACGTCTAAGTTTCAGAACAACATGGAGAAAGTCGCGAAATTCGCAAGATTTGTGTACTGCATAGAGTCAAGGTCGCATGATACTACACCATGATCATAAACATACATTCTTGATGTGTGGTTCTACAACCAGCCATACTGCAAAAGTAACATAAGCAATATAAGTCAAAGAGCAACTGGTTAATACCATGGTAGGATTTCAGTTGTTATTACAAAAGGAAAGGCACAAGCTCAATTACTTGTGAGTGCTGTCAGGGGGAAATTATGAACTCTGCATCTACCATAAACAAATTCCATAACCACTTATAGTTCTTTAAGTGTTTGTTTACCTTGAAACATAGGTAAATATTTAAATGGTTAGTATATATCGAAATTACAAAACAAATAGCACTTACCAGTCATACATTCATCCTCTGTTTTAACTCAAGTGTAAATCAAAATCAACAGACAATCTAACACAAACAAAAACTACTTATGGGGACAGTATTGTAAATGTTGTGACCGGACCTTTAAGAATATCCTCTATATGACCTTTAGAATAATTCCATTGGTGTATAATTCACACTTCCATTGATAACCACTACCCACCTACCTTGATGTATAATGGATGGTGTGAGGTCATTTTCTAAAAGCAGGCCTCAAGTCAATCTTTTACAGAGTTATAGCCCTTTGTTCACCATTCATAATTTTAGGAGGGCTTTTTTAATGTACTGGGTCACTTCATTTTGCCTTCTTTTGTAAGTGTTCTTTTCTTGGAGTGGGGAATTTTGTAAACTAAAATTGGGTCTTATACTCAATCATATACAGTTTTCTAACTTACTAACCGAAAGGAGGTAATTATAAGTAAGTTGTTAAAACTTTTGTCCAATCCATTTGCCTTTTGATTTTAACCAAATATACAGAGTTATGGCCCTTTGTTCATTTTTTGATTCCAACGTTTGTGTAGAGGTGGGGGACTAATGAATTGCTCATTATACTCTACCTAGTTTACATTTAGTTGATATTTACAAATTAAGAAAAAGTGTATACTACAATGAGTTTGTACATGCTTTTAGAAGGCCCTAGATATAAAAGACTTATAAATCCTTAAAATTGCTGAAAAGGCCCTAGAAGCCCTAAATTTAACAATAATGTCTTTTGAATTCAAAATGAAAGACTTGAATTCAAATTAAAGATCAGTTTATGGTTTTATACTGATTTTGGAGGATCTGTTCTGCTATTCCTCCTAGAAATGAATTAACAAAATACAAGAAAATGAAATATTTTTTATGAGTTAATTTACAGATTTCCGAGAAAACCATGCACCCAGTGTTAAAGTGTTGTTTCTCGTGTTTGTGGGAGGAGTTTGGAGGCAATTCCAGGTTACACATTGGGGTCTCTTCGTCCCAAGCTTGTGCAAATGGCAGGAGAATTCAAGCTTGATTTTTACTGGAAAAAAAACTATTCTTGAATTTCGTACAAATCAATTGGTTCGGTATTAATGGTTTTGCATCTTTTACCTTTTGGTTTTTTATCTCGCTGCCACAAAGTGGAAGCTAGACTGGTGTTGCTTTTCTGGCGACGGCGGCTTCGACATTACGTTTTTGTGCTTAAGTTAGTTTATCTGAAAGTATAAGTGCTACACCAACCAAACTTGGATCATAGATGCATCTTAGGTAGTCCATCTCAACCCATGCATCAAATGCTGGATGCTGCCTACATTTCATGGTCCGTTGACTTTGTCAGAATCTCCATCAACATAAGTTTTTGTGTTTAAGTTAGTTTCTCTGATATGTGCATTGATGGTCAAAGCGGGGTATAGGCGAGACATATCAATCCGAATGACTTGTTAACTTTTTGGCTTTTTATGAGTATTTACATTTTGTATCTCGATCTACATTGTTGTTTGTGTCACAACTACTTACACTGTTGATTGGGCGTAAACAATGCAAACACTAAACAAAGCAAATAATAAGCATCTACAAAGATCGGCTACACATTCTGATCTCACACTCTTATGTTGGATGAAAGTAATGATGTCATTTAGACGTTCGTGCTTGGCGTGTTGCGTGGCGGTTGTTCACACGATAGTTCCTATGTCCATATATACAGATAAAGGTACAAAAACCAGTTTCAGGTGAAAGTAAATGATTGCAGCAATTAATTTTATGGATCATTTGTAGGATTTTTTTTTTCATTTTGTTTAGCAAACAAAAGATCGTAGGTCTGTCATTATAGACATTACGATCGGAGAGACAACTTTGCCACATCAATAAGAGACAGGATGTTGGAACTCTCCTGGCTTTCATCTCGCCACGAATACTGGTTTAATATGGCGTAGACATTATTGATTACAAGTAAACAGTTTTATGGTCTATTCTGACATTTCGTAGTTTGGGGAAGCAGGATTCCATTTGACGACTGTAAATAATAGTCCGGCTACGTTTATGTTTCTTTCACGATTCCAAGGTGATCAACCAAAGTTTGCCCTTCCTCAGATCATCACTCCAGTAATTTATTTCAAGATATTGTGAAATATCCCAAGTTCACCCAAGCTTAAACAGAGAAGCAACCGAGAATTGATATCATGATATACTAATCAATTGTATTTAACATGTGGGTCAGACTCTCAGGGGAATTGCTTGGTATTATTGAATGCCAAGCTAGTGATGACTATAATTTTTTCCATTCAACCTTGTTCAATTTGTTATTAAACTCTATGCATAAAGTATGGATTTGATTCATCATTACTGAACCTGTACAATTTTTTTATTGTTTTTAACCTGTACAATTGATTTAGTACATTTGTAATCAATGTATTTTCACGTAATAAAATTATTCAGTGTTAGTTGGTTACATTGCCGTACGATAAATTACGATTGGACGAGCAGTATTTACAAATCTTTTTTTTTTTCTTTTTTTTTTTTTAGGTTTGAATTGTATTTTATTCCCCCAGCATCTTTGGGAGGAATGCCAGGGTTGGGGTGCCACAGAATCATCCCTCTTACATTATATAGCCTCATGTAAAAAGCCTCTTTCTCTCCATTCTCTCTTTCTTTTTCATTCATTCTTTCATACTCAAACTCAAAATCATTCATACGTATATTTCATTCATTACAATAACGATAATATTTATTTCTTTACTATTGGCTGTTCCTGGATCTGTTTTGCATATTTACTGACAATCATTGTAACAACTGTTATCACGCTGAGATCATACTACAATGTACCAATATTTATAATGTACCTTCCTCAGTGTAAAAATTGT